ATTTTCTGTACACAATTTAAGCCATGTAGAAACAAATAAAAAATCCTTTTAATGTCTTTGGTTTCAGACTGCAAGATGACAATTACAGAAATGAGAATCTTAATGTCACTACACTTACATTTTTTCGTTCACATTTCTCAAATAAAAAAAAATAGAGCATATAAAAAACAATTGGAATGCATGTGGGAAAAGAAAAAGAGCAGAATACTGGCGCCTAATAAATGTATTACTTTTCATTTTTGTACAAAATATTGTATTTATTTCATTATCTGCATGAAATTTTAAAATATAGATTACATAATACATTTTAACTACTATGTTATGTGGGTCTCGTGACACATTTAACTATATCTTCAAAATCTGAAGTAATACTGATATTCATGTGATATTGCATAAAGACATTTTGATTACATCTACTAACATTCGTTAGATGTGATCAATTTAACTTATTCCATGCGATGAGTGTTCTCTACGTCAGTGGTGACCCTTACTTGTTATACTAAATAAAGTTATCATTAACTTTAGAATTGATATCTATGTTTAACTCTGTTGGTGGTTGCCTTCTTGACCTTTAGTTTACATACGACTTCAAGTGACGATTAAAATTAAATATATTCATAATGCTATGTTATCGATTACATATACCTATTCTGAAATGAGATGTAATGTATACGTTGTATTTGGTTTAAACATTGTATCTGAAAAAAAATACAAATGTTATAAAGACAATGAAACGCGTGCTAATGCAAAAGGAGACAATCTTTAAAAAAATATCTTAAAAGAAGTAAGCTAAAATATCCGACACAAAACATAGATTTAATGGACCAGATCATCAAAATAAACATTTTAAACTAAAACGTATATATCTAAATAACTTTATTTTGGTGTTCGGTACACAGTTTTCAATACTGCATTGTAAACCCATTTCCATTTTAGTGCTAGAATCTCTTACAGTATTTCGGCTTGAATAAGTTTGCTAAACTAGTGGATTTACCTAATCCTATTTTATAATAATTAAGTATCATCTCAGATAGACAACGTAGCGGTTTTGGCTGCTTTGTTTCATTTTTTTTGTAGTTTGCGATAAAGTATATATATATATATAAACAACTCTAAATTGTTTTGTTAAAATATACTTTTTCACTTTTTTTGGTCTTTTGGAAAATGTTGTGTGTGCTGTACTTAGACCCTTCTACCAAGAAATTTGTTTTGCATGCAAACGTATAAAAATTGCGGTTTTTATCCAACGCAATCATAGGTTTGAACGTTGTTTTCAATTTAGACTTGTTTATATCTTTTCGTTTGGGATTGTATTATATTTTCTTTCGGGTTTATATGATCCGTTCATCCTATTTCGACTCTTTCAAAATTCAAGAGTCTATCCTAAATTGAGGTAAATTATATGGCCTTCCAAATATCGTTTCGATTCCTAACATCACTGAAGAGACATTAATTGTCGAAATCCGGATATGGTGTACAAATTTTTGCACCTCATGTTTGCGGTATTCCATCTTTTCCGCAAGTTTATTGTTTTCTGTTTGGTAATAAATTATTATAAGATCCATTTTGTTACATCCTGCCAGTCAAATGCGTTTTGTTAAAATATACTTTTTCACTTTTTTGGTCTTTCGAAAAATGTTGTTTGTGCTGTATTTAGACCCCTCTACCAAGAAATTTGTTTTGCATGCAAACGTATAAAAATTGCGGTTTTTATCCAACGCAATCATAGGTTTGAACGTTGTTTTCAATTTAGACTTGTTTATATATATATATATATATATATATATATATATATATGCCTAGAGTGTGATCATAATGAATACTAGTAAATAAAAAATCAAGTTCATTTTTCAGGGTACAATTAGTTGGTTCTTCTCGAAAATGGTGCTGTAATTTTGCCCTCTGACCTATAACGATGAAAGTACACTTGAAGTCAAACTTTGAAGAGTTTGATTTTACAGGTTATGGTTAATCCTGCATAATCTGTCTTCAAACATGTATGTATTCTATATCAATTTACGTCAGAAATTAATCGAAATATTTTATTTCACCTTCTGTAAAGTTAAATCATTATTTACACTCTTTTGAAGTTAATGATAACACCTCTTCAAATCCTCATCTTGTAAATCTGTTAGTTTGTATATACCTTCCTATCAAAGATAATACACTGAAAACGTCATGAAACTCACGATAATGCTACTTTTCGTTCCCTTCACGCTTTATAATAAAAATGACAATGTTTTTTTTTCTAATTAATGTAAATATCCATCCTTTTATGTATTTACGTGAATCGAAGAGGATGAAGAATTTTCTCTTAGCTACATGAAATTTAGAACGAGCGTTTCGAATGCTTTTGTTAAAAGTTAAGGAACGAAATCCAAATTTCTATTTAATTTACCTCAATGACAACTAGTGCTTGAAAACTATAAATTTTATTTGAACGGACGATTAACTCCAAATTGAAGTAAAACGGCACATAAATAAAAATGTCTGATCTGATTTGACCATTTTTTTTTTTTAGGATTGGATTACGTCCTTCGTAAAATAAGGAGATGTGGTATGATTGCCAATGCGACAACTATCCATCAGAGTTCAAATGAAGTGGATGTAAGCAATTATTTGCCATCGTACGGCCGTCAACAATGAGAAAATTCGATACCGTTTAAAAGGCCTCGACATGAAAAATGTGAAACAATTCAAACGAGAAAACTAACGGCTAATGTATAACAAAACAATTTACGCAAAACAAATATGACAGACATGTTTGTTCACAATTTGTACGGTTTGAGCCTCAACTACATTTCTTCCATTGGCGTCTTCTTGTTACGCTAACTTTCCGAACATACACAATGAGCTCTTGTTTTCCGAACATACACAATGAGCTCTTGTTTTCTAGTTGCATTAATCTAGAAATCAACATACGATCACAAATGAAAGATGTATGTCCATATCTGTCAAGCTCTCAACCAAACCAACTTCTGTACTGTTTAGGTGAATAAATTGTTAACACGTCCTTTCTAATGGACAACCAAAATTTCGGTCCCTAATAAATTATGCATAAACTAAATTAAGATATTATTAAAAAACTTAGGTTAAAATTCCACAGAAAAGTTAAACATAAAAATTTTTGTCAATTCTTTAAGGCTTTATTTGTTTTTTGTTTTTTGTTTTTTGTTTTTGTTTAAAAGAACCTGATGAAGCTAAATCCGGAAAAAGCGCTTCTTAAACACCATTTTTGTATTAAGTTATTGTCGCTGCGCGTTAAGCAACCAACAATCTACACTATTATTAAAATGAATTAACATCATATTGTATTTAAAATATCTTGACAGTGCTGACTACTATATATGTATGTATCCTCGAAGATTTCCCTGAAATTGTTTTACCTTTACTTCTTTGTTCATATCAACTCTTTTTGATCCTTGATTTTTAATAAATGAAGAGTGTTCAATTGCAGGAAGAAAAATGTTGATGTGGGGTTTTAGTGAATAAGACAGTAGTCTATTAAAACTATAAAAAAAAAAAGATGTCTTAAGTGAACTATCTTCAACAATATGTCAAACTCTAAATCAGCCTTATACGTCGCTATCATTACGAAGCAAAACCTTAATGAGCCATTATACACAAAGCACTCTTTGTTCACTTGTAAAGTACCCTGTACTATTAGACCAGTTAAGACTAGTTAAGAAACAAAAGTTTGTTCATAATTTCGATGACTGTTATAGTTGCAAATGATAAAATCAAATACTTTTAAATATCTAAAACGATATCGTAATATCTGCTTTCATGTATAAGTACTTGCAACTTTATGAAATATTTTGAAATCTAAAAAAAAAAAAACTATTAAGGGGCTAGAATGTATGTTTCTTCCAACAGGCGACAAAAGCCAATAGACAGGACTGTTTAATCAATTAACTGATGAGTCAACTTAAACTTTTTTTGTAAATATACAATATTCATAAAGGGAAATGTTGGGTATACACCAATAAGACAACAAACAAGCGATGACAAATACATCTAGAGGTCAATATATAGGTTACAACAAAAGACGAATGGTCTTACAATATGTCGTATTTTATCACCATATGTCTTAAAAACATTACAGTAAATTAACATTAAAGAAACACAAAAATACATTAAGATATGACAAAGGACGATCATTTACGATATTCTTGACTAGGACCGACATTTGGCGGTGTTAATGTAGTTTTTGAGACTTCAGCCCTTACATTTCAGTCTCTATCTTGGGACTATTAAGGTAAATAAAAGTAGAACCCAGTTGTTGTCGGTTGCCATCTGTCATAATTAGTTATTTTTCCATTTTTAAAATGTTCAAAGCTTAAAAGCCGTTAGTTTTCTCTTTTGAATTGTTTCGATTTTTGCCGGGGTCTCTTATAGCTTACTTTTCGGTATTACTTTTGCTTATTGTTGACGGCAATGTCATTAACAGTACACATTATATCGTACAATACACAGAACAAAACTGTAGAGAATTTCAGTGCAAAGACAAAAGGAATAATTGTTTCTTTTTCTCTTGCTTAAAACTATATATTAATACGGCTTGTGGCTTCATTTACTGTTTCTGGTGCCTTCTGAACCAGTGTTTAAGCTAATGCTGTTAACGTTTATGCAAGACCCTCTTTCCTAACGAAGTTAATTGCTCTGAATTTTCCTTGTTCCAGCATAGAATAAAACCATTTTGTCGTCATTGATCAAACAACCGAAACGTTCCTAGCCAATTTGGCTGTTTATAAAATGGTATGAAATGGCAGAATAAGAAACAAATCCGCTAGAGCTACTGAATTATGTCAGAAAACGAGCTACAAGTATACCTATTTTAATTTTTCCTATCAAATCTGCCAAATTGAATTTGGAACAATAGTAATTCGTTCTTTTTTTTTCTTTCTTTCAATTTGTTTTTCTTGTTGTTTTTTTTATGTTTTAATTTGGTAAATTTAATTGTTCTGAGCAAAACTGCCGTAATGAAATGAGTTTTAAAGTGAGAAACAATGATGTTTTATTTTACATTATAAATCTATAAGTTGTACATAATAGGAAGTCAATGTAATTGTTTCAATAATCAATGATCTATATTTTTAACACATTGTTCTTTCATATCAAATATAGGAATTGTCACTATAGATTATAAGCCTTTTTGTCAGTTGGTCTGTTGCTCGTAACTAGGTCTCTTCTGCAATCTGAAAATGTACAAAAAGAAAGTTTGAAATACAAATACATACAATACAGAACTATGGATGCACTGATAAGTTGTGGGAGACAATACAAAAGCACTGAAAAGTTTCAAGAATGTGCTATTTTATTTTAAAGAAAATTCCGTATTGTAATTTGAAGTCTCTTGTAAACACTCCGAAGTACTGTCTGTTATACATTACGAAATATTGAAATGGCTTTGCTTTTTCTACTTTATCATATGCATTGTTTTGGATGTGGCTGCTTTAGTGTCGTAATATTACTTCGTATAAATGCGCAAATTGTAGATGTGACGCGTAATAATCAATAAAAAAACTTAAAGAAATAAATTCAGATTATTAAGTTAGCATAGCTTTTAATTCTGTTTTCTATTCTTTAACTGCATTTACGTACGGTGATGTTTAACTCTGACAGAACTCACCTTCAAATAAACAGATGTTCTTGTTGTCATTAAGGGATCGACACTAAGATTGTCTCTTCTAGTTGTAACGAGTGGGCACCTGCCTTCACAGAATATGACTAGAATATTCAGATATACAGTTGAATTCGGCATTGAATCATTCTCCATAGCCAGAGTCTTCGGAATCTTGATCAGTTTTCTTCATGTCTGTGTCATCTTCGGATCCACTACATTCACAAGAATAATCACTGCCTAGTGACATGGTCGACACACTTTTACTCAGCTGACACGTGCTGTCTTTGAGGTAGTTTGAACTGTCATCTAAAGAATCTTTACTAACACCATAAAGCCTCTTGTTTTTCAGCTCCTCGATGGTTTCATTCAGCGTCAGTAGCTGCCTCATTAAGGAAAGATCTTGGTCGACGAGTGAAGTCTGTAAAAAAAACAAAAATCGTAAAAAAATGTTAAATAAGAAATATATATAGTTAATGTTTTAGGGTCTAGTATATTTTTTTCTTTTTGTTTATTCAATATCAATTTAATGTTTATAAAAAAAAAATTGGATGAAAAAATGCGGCACTAACCTAGATGGTTTAAAGCATAGTTTCAAGGTATCAATATATGTGTACATATTTGAAAGTATTGAGTAATAAATGTTGATAATAAAAATAATTTAAAACACTACCTACCATTTCAAGTCGTAATCTATCCATAGCCATAGACAATGAAGTTTTCTTTGGTTCACAGTCTCCGTTTTTATTCTCCAACTTTTGCTTCAGATTTTCAGTTGCTTTCACACGATTTAGGTAAAATGATCTGCAATCATTCTGAAGGTCCACCAGTTTTTCATATTTATCAATAGATGAAGTTTTCTGTATGTTTGTTGAATTCGCCTCCAAAACCATATTGAATCTAGAAGTAAATGTATGTAACACTTTGATAGCAATATTCTCACTGAAACTATTGTAGCTTTAAAGAACCTTTTATACCAAACAGGATCAGAGTAGTTGTGATTGGTGGAAACTGAACAGGTAAAAATAAAGGTATGATGTAAACTAAAAGTAGACACGCTTAGTAATGCTTTACCATTTAAAATTCAAATGAGTTTGATTATGAAACATTACTAATGTATTTTAAATTATTATGTTAATTAAGGCATGAAATCTTGATTATAAATAAATACAAATATAGATCATTTACTCATACTAGTTTGATAGAAATAAACCATATATAGGAAAGGTTTCAATTTCATTTCAATCGAATTACTGAGAAATTCAGTTTTTCAGTACAAGCACTTGCAATGGAAATACGAAAACCTCCCACTTCGCACTAAGAACCAGAAGATGAAATATTCTATAACCAATGATGATTAGTGGATACTTTTTATATACTACTACTTGTCGTTAGCGTTGCTGGTGGACTGTTTTACCCGAAGTGTACAAAAGGTGGTTGCTTCGGTACTAGAAGTGTTCAATACATTTACTTAGATTCACGTATCTTATTTTATTTCTCTAATGATTGTATTTAAAATAAGGTTGAATCTTCCTCGAAGGAAGTTGATATCCAGGATTGCATTCAATAATATACTTTAAGAATCTTCACAAGCTTTCCACTTAAAAAGTTTTATAAAACTCGGGTTTTATTTTAGTTAGCTACTCCTGGATAGGTAATAAGAATTGTCATACAAATGTTTTATTCTAAAAATGAATTAATACAACCTTCTTTGACAGAATAATCTGTCATGATAAGACTAACCCGTGTTTATGTTGCTTGCATAAAAATAATCTCATTTATGTAATAATGGTAATTTTGTCTTACTTTTTATTAGTTGACTTGATGTATTATGGTGATATTTAAAGAACAAAAAATTAAAATGTCAAAATTAATGCTTTTTGAAAATTAAGTATAAAGTAAAAAAATTGTCTTGCAAGATTTGTTTTCTTCAATCATTCAATTATAAGAACTAGCAATCTATAAACTTGGCATATGTTTTGACATGAAGGACTATTTTTATTTTGTAGCTGAACTATTGTCGTTTCATTATTCCACTACAAATCATGACGTTTAACTTAAAAGATCTTCGGCTTGACTCGCCATCATATTCTCCAGCATTGTGTCATTCTAATATCTCCATCGTCTGCTTTGCCCAAAATATAACAATATAAAATCAGAATGCCTTATATGCAAGACAGTCAGTGTTCAATTATGTGTATGACATTCATTTTAAATTACAGATCACTGCCCTTTTTCATAATTAAATGTTGTGATCATGCAGTTAAAACCTCTGAAATTAATTGTTTGAACTCAAGTTTCTGTGATTGCCATATCATGCGCATGGTCCTCTGCTTTATCCAAGATTGTAAAAATCATTGCTAATTCTTAAAGCTATGCATAGTATCGGTTTTGTTAATAAGACTTGTACATTGACATTAATTAAGGAAGACTTTTCATTAGACAAATTAATACTGAAGTTATTGGTGATTCATACATATTGTTTACATTCTGCCGTCCCGTCTGATTTACAGTTGAATATTAAATTTCATTTTCAAGTTATTAAATCCGGTTGGAATTTTTATTTTTTTCTAATTTAGTATTATAGATATATATATATAGTATCTCTCGTATTTCATCTCTATTCATTCCTATACCCTCATTATATTTCAATGTAATATCATTATCAAAATTATCCAAATTTTTGAGAGTTGAATTTCTGACATCAATGCATCATAATTCGTTCAACTCACAGATTTAATACATTATGGGATTACTTATCCAAACTTTGCTTTCCTTTTCATTTTGCCTGGCATTGATTATACTAGACATCACTGGATGGGCATGCTTTGTGATCAGTGTATATCCAGATTAGAAATGCTGACCCTTCAGACTCTCTCCCCGTAGTTCATACAGGACAAATCGTCTGTATGCATTGGAATGTTTGTTTGAACATGGACTGGAACCATCATAAAAAAAAGTGCAAGTAGACAATGAGGCTTAATTTTTATGCAAATTAAAACAGGCATATATCATATGTGTTATAAGAAAAACTGCTATCAAATGACACAACTACATGTAACCAATGAACAACATCTTTTAAAAAAGTAGTTTGAGTTTTATCATGATTCTTTTTATTTTCATTTTGTGTTCACGATTCCATTTGTATTTTTTTTATTTTCATACTACTGGAAAACTGAAAACGAAAACTTATGATATTGTTAAACTGAAATGATCTGACGCATGTTATGATTTTAGGTATATTGTAATTGTTTGTTTATTGTTTGACCAAAAGAAGAATCCATTTGTACTTGTAAACATATTTCCAATTACTTGAACTTTGTAGTGTTACTGATTAGATAAACTGCAATGCTCACTTGAAATTTGTATATAACTATACTACGTCAACAATTTATTTCCTACGTATTTTCCTTAAATACACGCAATTTCTATTTTTGCTATAAACCAGGTTTAATCCACCATTTTCAACATAAGGAAATGCCTGTACCAAGGGACTTTCCGATTTTAATTTTCCTTGGAGTTCGGTATTTTTGTTGTTTTACTTTTTGATAGATGCATGAATGTATATTAGAGTCCAGCCGAATAAATTGCATTCATTTTCAGCACGAGAAGAGGTTGATTTACATGAATGTGTTTCACTTTGTAGTTCAACTTCAATGCTCACTTGAAATGTGTATATAAAATATGTTTTCCTGTATACTGATTGTTATTGTATTGTATTTTATTTTCCTTTCATTATTCACAGAACGAGATTATAAAGGGAGAAGGTTGAGATCGCAAACACAACTTTAATCCTGCCACATATATTCACCCCCCCCCCCCCCCTTCCCCCTGTTCAAAGTTCGGAATATCGCCAGTAGTTTTCTCATGTCATATCTTTTTTTTTTGAGGATTGGGTGTTAATACATGTAGTAGATCTTTGATTGATTCTCAGTTGAATTTACTCGTAACTTTTATGCACTCTGGACGATCTAGAGCTTGACATGTTGTATAGATATCTAGCTATTGCTGAAGCCCTCTAGGTGTCTTTTGAGGTTTGTTGTGTAGCGGTCTCATTGATGTTTACCCCAACATCTTCTTTTATTCATTTTAAAAAACCACAAAGGTATTTTATACTGAAGTGTGGTATAAAATATATCAAGCTTTATCTTGCCCCGAGTTCAGAAAAAGGAATAATTTAAACAAAAAAAAACAGTAGCATACACCTACGGCACGGGGATACATTCTGCAGCACTAAGAAATCAATTTCTTTATAAACTTACATGTAACAGGATGAAAAAGTCAAATGACACATTTCTTGCTTTTAGAATTATAGTTTATAAAATTGTATATCATCTTATTAATTTACAGAGTTACAACAACGCCGTTCATGCCAAAACATCAGTGTTTTGTTATATATGACTTTTGCCAGAAAATGAATTTGTACCTTTTCACCTTGTACCCAACTGAATAGTCCTTCTTCTGCTTTAATTGGGTTATTGATAATTACTTCTTTCTTTCTTGATTTCATAAACAAATAATATGTAATGAACAAATGTCCTCTCTATTCTTGACACGTGGATGTATATATATAATACAAGTGTCAATTTATTTTTTATTTTGAAAATAATATATATCATAAAATGTTTCATTTGATACATTCACGAGGGTTAACGCCTTCTTAATATCAGTAAGATTCTTTGTTTAAGGTCAGTCATATAATTCGCTAATATGATTTACTTGGATATTATTTAATCAGATTTGGTGCATCCCAAAGTTCGTACTATGTTATAGTTTTAAGAAATCTGTTACTGTATTTTTAATGACACCTCCACAATATAACTAAGTTATTGTACTATATACTTTCAGTGATGGTACGGGTTTTTTAATTCCAAAACCCTTAAGGTGAATTCAGTTCATACTGAAATAATATTTTATTATAATGAAAAACAGGGTATATTTACTTTCTTGTATACTTGCATAGTGAAAAAAATTGTAAATCTCCAATTCTTAAAGACATTATACTGAGAAGACACATGCTAATAACTGTGATGAACGAGGGAAAATACTAGTAGTATGTAACAGTTGTGCCTCATGAATTATGATAAGTTTTTAAAAAGACTACAATGTACACTTTAATTCATGCCAAAGCCTTAAGAATTCGGTGTAATACGATGCTAGGAAAAGTATATCTTTTAAAATGTATGCACAATTTTGCGTTGTACTTTTACACATGTTTCTACAGGCAGGCAGGCATGAAGACAGGTAAAACACGACATCCTTTTTCTAGCGAAATTAGATCTAAATTGACCAATGGTCAAGTATTTTGTGTTTAGATTTTTATCATATCTTTAAATGTAAAGGAGCAAAGCAGAAACATTTAAATAGCCATCAAGATTCCAGGGGTGCGATAAAAACCATTAGTTGAAGAAAATTAGACAACACCTTATGATAAAAAGAGTCTACAAAACACTTCACAACTTAGTACGACTGAGTAACGTGAACACGGAACTCGAAAAAAACCTGGGTTCTCGGTCATAAAACTTTACTCAGTACTCGGAGTACAAAATTTGTGCTCGAAACACCAAATCCAGGATTTTGATTGGTTGATTTCTGAGTGTGAGTACGAAAATCGTGCTCGAAAGTTTTATGACCGCAAGGCCTGGTGCTCTGGAAAGGGCTACAGTTCCTACTCCACTAGTGACACCCGCCGTGATACTCTTGTTAAAATACGTTGAAGGGTCATCAGGTATTTACGTATTATAAAATATAAAATATCACTAAGGCATCACCAAATTCATGTAGCATCGATATATATTAAATTGTAAACACCTGGTTTATCTGGACAAAAGAGACAATGTTGTCACCAGTATAGAATCAAAACAAACAATGAAAAATAATAGCACGTATAAAACAACATTGAAAGCAAAAGAAAAAGCAACACGAACCTCCTTTAATCTAAACTAGGGTTTAAGTCGGG